GCTTGTTAACAAAAACTCTTAAACAGATACAATTCAAATTACAACAATTCCTAAACCAAGTCTTGTCTTGAGATTTTGTGATATCTTCCGCCATTGACCGTTTTCAGCTTCAGCAGATTCTGCTTGGCAGAGCGGTTGGCGTTGCGTTTGATAGATCTTTAATATCCAAAGTGGATATTCAAGATCTTGGAAGCAACACTTCTCTCAAAAAGGAAAAACAAGAACAAAAAACGAAAGAAGAAAACAAAAAAAAAATAGAAAGACAAAAAAAAATTTGGAAAAGAGAATTGATTGTGAAAAAAAATAAAATAAGGTTTTCAAAGATGAAGGGAAAAATAAAAATTTTGAAAAAGAATTTTATGGAAAAATTTTAAAGAAAATGCTTGGGAGAAGGGAGCAGAGGCAGCACAAAAATTTAAAAAAAATTTGTAAGAAGAGTGCGGCGACTACTCAAAAAAAAAATAAAGTTTAGAAAAAGAGAGAGAGGGAGGGGAAAGAGATCAAGGTAAAAATAAAAAGAAAGAAATAGAGAGAGTGTTGTTCCAGAGAAAGTGTATGGTATAATCCTGAAAAATACGAGAATTACACCATAAACTTTCTCTACTGCCGAGAATTGCACCATAAACTTTAGATTACTTTTCTTCTCACTAGGCTTTCCTCCATTGCCGTCTATGAGGGTGAGAAAGAAGAATTTCTCCATTGAGGATATTTTCTCAGACAGTGAATTTGAAGACTTTCATATTGAGAGAGTTGTTTGTGATGGAAATGGATTGGAATGTCTTGATTTAAATAGGGGAGGAGGAGGTTCATGGGTTCCATTAAGTGAGTAGTTGGAACGGTGAGAGTAAAGGAGTTTCAACTTTCAAGAAGTTGAAACGTGGAAGGAATCTTTTACCGATTTCCAAGGAATTGAAACTGTTCCAATTAGAAAATCAGTTTCGTTTGGTTTGAGAAACGTAACTGTTTTAGTTTGGCTAAGCCCAAAAGAGTGGCCCAAAAAGAAAAGAAAGCTATGTACTAGAGGGAAATTATTCCTATTGGGTTCTCAAGGCCCAAAATAAAACTATCATTTTTCATTCCCTATAGTTCTAATTTCTACTTAGGACGAGGTAGTACCAAAACAAATATGAATTTTATTTTTTTAAAAGAAAAGTGGTACTATTTTTCCAAAGTCCTGTACATTATAAAAATCCTAAGGACCAGTACTTTTAGAGCTAGTTGGAAATGAATTAAGGATTGAAGCTTAGTTTAAGAAGGCAGATTTTGTAGAGTACCTGAATCGGAGATTTCCAATTTTAGTACCAAAACTGAGATATCCGTCTTCCATTGCTTAGAGCTCATCAATAATTCATAGCCAAAAACAATTATTAGCCAAAACTAGTTAAGTTCCCCCTGAATTACATTCCCCCTGAATTTATGCGCTTCAGAAACAAAATTTCTCATAATTAAGCATAATCATACTTGAGTTAAGCATAATAAGCACAAATAAGAGAATTGTTGAAGCAATGTTTAAACCAATCAAGCAATGTTTAAACAGGAAGGTGTTAAGGTGTTTTCATCAAAGCAAATTAGTGTTTTCACATACTTTCCCCCTGGTTTGATGAAAAGAACCTTCAGTTTCTCTTGCGCTTTGAAGATCCGGCAACCTCACTGATGCCCTTCATGTTCCCGCACAGTTCTTTGATGCGCCTTAAATTTTCACGTCTCTCTTCTGATTGAGCATCATTTGAGAAGTGGTCAACAACTGTGCCTATAAATTCTGTTCCATCCAGTCCTGAGCTGGATAGATGCTCTGCTGAGTTTTCCGGATTTCTTTGCTGTGCTTCAAGGATTAGATTTGTCATGTTCAGATGAGAAGGAATATAAGATACTTCTCCTTCTTTGACTGCAATAGGGAGCTGTGGTATTGGAGATGGGCTGTGTTGTTGGAGAATTACTTCCATCTTGCGGTTCCCAGAATTTGCGCCAATAAGTCTGAACAGCTTGTATGCCTCCTTTTGATTGTCAATGATCACCTTCAAGTAGTCTTTGGTCACTACCTGATTTGCAGAAGCTACTGCTAGGGCTGATCTGATGTCATTTGGAGAAGGGACATCTGTTTTTGTAGACTAACTGTGACACTTGCTATTTGCTCCTTGACGTTGGTGATTTCTTTGAGTTGAAGTTGACTGTCAGAGGCATATATTTCCATCGTGTTGCTCACAGTTTCACTCAATAGAGAGATAATCTCCAGAGTCTTGTGCACTGATTTGCTTATTTCTTTGAGATCAGTGTTGTGCTTCTCTTCAGATTTCTCTATAAGCTTGGTGTACTTGGCTTCCATTTGCTCTATCTCTTGCCTAAAAAAGGCATGTTGAGATGCTAGGGCTGATTCAATCAGCCCTTGGACCTTCTTTGTCCAGATTTCCGGCACAATATCCGGAAGGGTAGGGGTGGAAGAGCTATGGAAATGAAAATTGGTTACCTGATGAGAGGATGGTGTTCTTTGGAAGAGTTGCATAGGAAGAGATTAAGCATCTTCTTGTACATCTTCTTCATCAGTAACCTTCAGTGTTCTTTCAGACTCTCCTTCTGCTTCATTAAGCACAAAATTTGATATATCCCTAGAGAGGGAGTCTCTTTCTTCAGCTGCATTCTGTTCTTCAAAAATGGCTACTGGAGTTTGAGAGACCTCTGGTTCTGCCATTTGAGTCTCCTTTCCAGCTTCTCCAGAATTCCTTTGGACTTCTACAGCTTGCTCCTCTTCATTTGTTTCTGGAAAAGTTGACTGTTCCAGAATTTCTGCTAACTTCTCCGGGATCTCAGTTTCAGTAGGATTGGAGATCTCACAAGGAGTTGTGAGAATCTCCAAATCTTGAGATTGGATTAGTTCTTCTTCTTCTGCTGTTTTCTGGTTCTGTTCTTGTGGGGGAGAGGTTGCCTTCTCTTGGACAGCTTCAGTCAGAACCATTTTAGAAGAATGTGAGGTTTGCTGGAGAGCAGGTGAGGTTTTCGTTTCAAAGGCAGGTGAGGCTTCCGGAAATGTTTGGAAGTCCTCAGCTGTTGCTTCCAAAATAGTTTGCGCTTCAGAAGTGAGAACCACTTGTTCTTCTGTGGCTTTGGAGAAGACTGGTTTGTAGACTGAAGGATCTTCATCATCTACTTCAAATTCTGACATTGGTGAGTTGGCTAGGTATTCCAGATGCAGGTCTTCATGGTTCCTTTGCCATACCCAGTAGTCATCCAAGATTTCTTCACAGCTATGGTTGACTGGTATTCCTAAGCATTTCTTGATGATCTTCTCATTCTTCAGCTGTTGGTCCCAATCCATCAGTTGCTCTGCTGAATTTCCAACTTTCCATGCTCTCCAATCATAGTAGAGCTGCCAGAATTGGTTATCAGCATCATCCATTTGAGGTTGAGGTGAGGGGGTTGGAAGGCTTTGGACTTGAGG